AGCTGGCAAAGCCACACAGGGATTCTGGCACAATACATGCACCCCAGGTCTCTGTGGTTCACTGCCAGCACCCATGTCCCTTGCCTGGGAAAGGAGCCAGCACTTGGTACTGTGAGAGCTGGGCCCCACACTTTATCTGAGATGAAAGTCTTTGGTCCAGCCTGTCTCTGCAGCAGAGCTCAGGAAAAACGATACATACCCAAGAAAATTTCAGAGAGTAGTTTCTGTTGGAGGAGAGAAAATCTAGAAAGACACAATTCAAGCTAAAGTCCCACTGAGATCCAAGACTGGCCCTTTGTCCACTAATCACATCATAAAATCAAAGAATGGTTTGGGTTGGAAGGGACATTAAAAATCATCAGGCCTCCATCACACATACCTCCACTGCCCTGTAAGGACAGAAGGCTTCTACATTTGTAACACTGTGCATGTTAAGTATTTAAAAAAAAACTTCTGCAAAGAAGACTTTTTATCTTCATCAATGGGTCACTAATACAGACACTTTATAATTTTGATCACACTCCTCTCCTGTACAACTGCTTAAATGGATCGTTTTGCCAAATGCATCTATTTCCTGATATTTTAAGATATGAAAAATATTACATAGGGAATCTTCTCAATTCAGGGATATCACCAAAGAGCATGGATAAATGGTGTTCTGCAAGAATCGTTGATGGCCATCCTAAATTATTTTTGTTTTCAAAAGTAGTTTTGCGTTTTTCTACTTGTGGACCACATAAAAAGACACAACTTCATGAGAAACCATTTCAGATTTTTTTTCCTGTTAAACATGTTTCTTTTTCTAGACCATAAGGGGTCTCCTAAAGGTTAAAGCCTTCATTCTCAGTTTGAGCACCATAACAAACCTGTTCTGTACTGCCTATTCAAATCTGTACAGCCTATTACAGAACGCAAAAACATAACTAAGCACAATCTTCAACTACCAGCAACTACAATGTCCTGTTTTATTACTTGTGTTACCTGCTCCTGTACAACTTGTTTTCTTAAAAGATTTGACAGCAATAATTCATGGGGTTTTGAACAGTTGAAATTTAGATACATCTAGAATAGGTAGCTAGTATTAATAATAGTAAATAATAGTAAACCTGCCACCTGAAAAAAAATCCCAGCAACAGATTCTACTACAAGTTGCCCTATAATTCTTAGTTCCCCAGAACCCTTTCATAATACTGAAACAATTTTTAATGACTCATAACCCTTTAAACTGCAAAACACTTGTAGAGTAAGTCTTCCACTTCTATAGACAATATTCACTTATAGAGAAGGAAAAAATTTAATTACCTATCATTGTCAACTAAGATTAAGCTTTTTTCATAAGTAAAAACTAAACCATCAACGTGTAAGAGATGAAAGGGTCACCTGAAATGTAAACACTACTTACACCTGCCACAGGATCGTGTGAGAGTAGTGTAGCTATTAAATCATCTTAACTCTTGAAGCTGCTGCTTGGATTTATGCCACAGAAAACTAGCCTACCAAGATACACATTCTTGACCTCAGATTGTTCCTGGAACAAAACTTCTGTTATATGTAAACTCCTTATCTTTGCTATGCTTGTAACTGGCCTGCTAAGAGTAACAGAATACATCTCTTTTCCCTTAAACTGTATCTAGTGGATGTATCCTCAAATCAAGACTGAAAATTAACTACACATTTTAAAAGATAGGTCTCGGTAGTATCAAGCCAAACATCGTAACATAGGTTTAAGAAAATCTTCCTTGAACACCTTCCTTGAACATGGTTCTTAAGACAAAACACCTTTAACAAGATCACAGAAAATACCTTTGCCATTAATATTCTTGCCTTACTTCCACCTCCTGGTTTACTGTTATTACTCTCATTCATTGCATCTCAAAAAGCCTGGCATCAAGTTAAGAACATCAGGTGCTCTTAAAAAGGTTATTTTAAGATGTTATTCCCTCTTCTAGTTCTTCTGTAAACTGACATTTGTTATTTCAAAGTAAGGCCTTACAGCTTCAGTAAAGTGCAGTACCTTTATTTAGTACACACACAGTCTGCCCACAATTGCAATTTACTGTCTCTAACCATTTCTCTTTTACAGGAAAAGTGTTAGGAAGCAAATAGCCTGTGCCTAACCTTTCTAAACTAAACACTGTCACTCCAGATAGGTACCACACTTTACCAGCCACCAAAAATAGAATGCAGAGCTTGAGAAGCCCTAAATCCAAGATCTATTTTTCCCTTTAGCATTTGGCCCTCTTTCCATTAGCATTTCATCACAAAATTTCCAGAAGATATTAATATTCAATACTGACAACAACTTTGCTTTAGTATCAGTAGCAAAATTATACCTTCTACAGCAGCAAATCTATCAACGCACTTTAAAGCAGTTAAATATCACCTGTCCATGCTGGCTCTTAAAGGTTTGGTGCTTCACATCATAGCTGAACTGCATTTACTGCTTGCTGCCTCTCCTTGAAAATATATCAACACACACTTCTGGAAAGGTTCCAAATTCCTAGAACTGCTTTTCAAGTCACCAGAAACACACGCTGAAAGACTGGACTGAAATAGTTTCAGGTCTTAAAACACTTCCAATGCCTAATGCTTTAGTACAGGTCTTCTTAAGCCTACGGGAAAATCTTCACGTCAGAAATGAAAAAGAATACTAGTTGGAGTTGCTTTACTGCTTGCAGCCAACAATTCCATTTCCCCCCTTTTAAGATTTTAATACCACAATTAAAAACAAAACCTCAAAATCCCACATACCTACTTTCATCATAATAGCTCATAAATAATGATCTCGTAAACAGAGCTGTTAAGTTCACATAAGTTTATCCTCTAAAATACTCTGAATTTGAAGAATCTCTGAGAAGATAACTATATGAGTCATAAACAACCACACTTACATTCCTTTCTCTTTCATACAGGAAAAGAAAAACTTGTTCTTACTTTGGAACGATTTCCACTGATTAAAGTCAAAATATATACTGTCCCTCCCTTTTGCCACTCTACCAGTAAAAAAAAAATTCTTAAAAAAATAGAAGACACTACAAAATATGTGAATAATTCCTACTCATGTGTGAAAATGTGTGCCTATATCAAGCTTCAGATATTTGATAACCCTATTGGAATACATTTTTCTTGTCAACCTTGTCAGATGATTCTTACTAGTTATTTGTTTAACCTCTGTTTGTGTTAAGACATTTACACTGGGTCACTCCAAAAAGAGTGAGATGTAGTAAAAGGAAAGATAAGGCTGCATGACTAAGAGCAAGCTAAGGACAGTGAGATCTTGCCTTCACCTTTTAACTGCTGACTCAATTGCTCATCAGACAGAAGTCTTCATTTTACCTTAATTTATTCTTTGGTTGTGGGTAAGACAAGGGTATTTTCCACAGTCAGCGCTTAAATTGCCTCAAGCAGCCTGAACCCCCTGCCTTCCCACCCAGTATCTCAGGTAACTACAGTGTTGTACTAGCTGAGGCACTCCTACCAATGTGCTATGAAAGAGACTGGGGAAATTATTTGGCTGCACATTCCCATGTCATTCGTTGTGGTTGAGGCATTACAGCTGCTCAGGCTGCTGCCCAGCACACCACTCCAGCTGGATGCCTGCTTCCCCTTTAACCCCTGCCTGCCTGCAAAACATACACATGCTTTCTCTGGGTCATCTCCCAGAGAAAAGCAAGAGAAGGAAATTAAGGAGGAGACAGCTTAAATCTGCACTGAAGATTTAATTGCAGAAATAGCCAAAGCAGTGGTTTCCCCACTGCTCAAGCCCATCTAAACTGGCATTGTCACAGCCTCTGCCACTGCACCTCTCAGCCTTACATTCATACTTCCTTCCTCTGCTCAGCACTGGCACACATCCATCTGCGTGGCAAATCAGTTTGGGATGCTCAATAGCTGAGAGTTTGACCATCTTCCTTAGTCAGGGCTGTAACATTTTCCACTGGCTTAACATACTTAACCAGGCTTATGGTACGGTCAGACAAAGCAGAGTGTTAGCACAAGACAAAAAAGAGTAGGAGAATGAAGGGACAGAACAAGAGTATGACTGCAACAGCAACAAACAACTTTAATCATTTTAAACCATCTCTTGGTGGTATAAGAAATATCTAAACCTAAATCAACTTCTTTCAGCTAGAAACTGCTGCTGTCATGGCTCTCTCCAGCGTTCTGCAGCAGTAAGAGCCAGTACTACTTAGTGAATCTACTGATAGTCTTTTAGCATTCTGCAAATGTTAATTAAGCTTCAGAGCATTCTATATGAAAGACAACTAAGATTTAAACACTGGATCTCTCTAGCTTTTTCCCCTGGATTCATTAATTAGCATCCATGAATCTTCATCTCAATCTAATTCCTTTTCAAATAAGAAAGAAATTGTGTCTTAGATGAAGTATCTAATTTTACATTTTGCTACATGAAACTAAAACAGTGCTATTTTCACTGCTAAATGCAAAATGTTGAGTCAAATAATGAAGACCAACAGGATTCCATAGTGCTGTAACTGACTGCAGATTGTGGCATGGACAGTTTACTATGGAACCAGAAGCACTGTTACCCATCTGTTCAGACTCTCAGTATTTAAAATGCATGACCATAATCACAAGAATACTTAACTTTCAGAAAACAAAACAAATATCTCCCTCATGACCCCTGTTTCCTGAGTTTTGATTCTGCAGAACTTGACATCACTCATGCTGGAAAATTACTTACCAACAGCAATCAGTTTTTCAAACCTAAATCTCAGAAGCAAGTTTTCCTTGGAAAGCTTCATAAAGAAAATTTTTTTTTAATTTTCTTCTGTGACAGATTTGAACAACAGCGAGTATTTACCAGCATGCACAGAGACCAAAAACACAGGGCAGGTCATCTCTATCTTTCACTAGTTTTATTTGCTAGAATTTCACGATAGCCATAAAATTCTGATTCCTTTTAGCATGGAAAATACATCTTTTATCCCTAGGCAAAAAATGTGTGTTAAACAAACAGAAAACCACCATAAACTTACTCTCTAGTTCTTCCTTCTCAAAATTGGTATTGATAGTAGAGCTGATTTTGCCCATATCTACAACAGCTTCTTCATCGTGACCCTGAAGAAAGAAGACACAAGTTTAAGTTAAAATTCAGTAGAACTACCTTTTTCCTAAATTTCTAAATATGTTCTGAAACAGTATACCAAAGTTTTGTAAACCAGTACATTTTCACCACTTAGAAACTGAGAATGAAAACATCACTGAAAATCTACCCATCCAATTCTTCAAGAAAACATTACCCTATATTGAAGGAAAAAGAGAGTAAATCAACAGACAAGCAATTTGCTTTTTCAGTGCTCTTGATTTCATCGTATAAATGGTTAGGACGCACATTTCAGGAGTGCAGTATTCTTTTAGTTTGGTATTCAACAGCAATCAATCTACTTTAATAAAATAACTGGGAAATTAATAGGAAGTTACATAACTTGACATTCAGAGATCCTGAATTCATCTGCTTAGAGGACAATTCCTGAGATTTTCCAGCACAAATAAGAAGCTTTTGTGAACAAAGGGGTAGCAAAAGGTTACACAACTTGGGGGCCTCTCCTACACCAACAGCTCTGGAAAGATGAAAATAACTGCTTCACTCAGGTTTCAACAGCCAGCTTGTTAACCACATCCCTACCTAATTCACTTTTTTTTCTTAGGCACAAAGTTAAAAAGCAGAAGTTTCAAGAAAACCTGGTCAGATTCCATTACTACTGAGATCACACCACGCATAATGTAAAACCTTAAAATGCTGCCTTTTGCTCAGTCTTGACAGAAATTAACCAAGCAGCAGAAATCTCAATCTCATCTCAGACCTGACATCAAAAATAACATTAAACTTGCCTTTCTGCATGTGTTTGCATTCCTTAGAATACAGTCCACTTTCAACAGCTCACAAATTACAGCCTCCTGACAGAACTGGTTCTCCAAAAGACCCACAGCCTAAGGGTAGTGCTTTACATCCAAGTATAAGGGCACACTAACTGCTAAAGATTACTGTCCCTGCTCTTTCTGCTCCCTTGGGCACATGCTTTTTTCCTTAAACCAGACCTAACAACCATGGCATCAGATAAAAAGTGCTTAAGCAATGGATTTTATGTTTTTAGCTGTTTTAATAACAACTTAATTAGTTTTCCACTGGATCAGTTCACTAAAGTGACTTTTCCTGAGGAAAAAAACAGAAGCCTAAATCCGGAGTCTTACAGGGACTGGGAACCCTAACATTGTTGACACTCACCTAAACTTTGGTCTTAGAATTATGCAATTGCTTTATATATAGAACAAATTTGTCATCTCACAGGAAAGCGACAAGGATGAAAAACAACATACCTGTTTAACAGGTTCAAGCTAAAACAAACTGTAGCAGGTCCCACCCCCAGAGAAAGCTGGTTTTGGACATGTAGCTCCTCAGTCTTAATAAAAAAAGATATTTACTACAGTGTATTGTGCACACATACAAACACACACCAAAATAAATCTAAATTTTAGTTTGCCTATTGGGGAAAGGAGATTAAAGAATATGAAGATGACAAACACCACATACTGGGAACAAAAAAGTCAGACGAGGTTTAAAAAAAGGTTAAAGACAGCTAGACCGCAAAAAAAAAAACAACAGCAGTTGGCACTATGTAAATAAGCAAGAATACAAGAGAAAAAAAGAGTGGCACATGGCAGAACAAGCCTCTGAAAACTAAATAAAGGTTGACTCTGAGTTGTGTCCCTAAAAATAGGGTTTTCAAGGAAGGCATTACACCATAACCTAAACTTTGTCACTACTGCTGCATTGCAAAAGTAGTTTTTCATGTAGGGTAGAAAAAATCAAAATTCCTGCACACTTCACACAGCTACAATTAAAAAAATTGGTGTGATTAAACCAAAGTCATGTCTGTTGGACAAATCTGTGAAAATGTTACAAGGACCTATTAATGAAGAATTGGCAGAAATCTGAAAAGTGTCATGGTAAGATGATGGGAGAGTGATGGGGGCAGGAGAAATAGTATTTCCTGTCTCCTACACAACAAAATAAACTATATTGTAATACACTCCAGTTCACAGAAACAGATACACACAGTAATCTTGAACATTACCATTAAACTCCAAATAGAGATGGATATAGATGGAAGAATCACAAATCCTCTAAACTATCTCATTTTATCACATGTGAGAGAAAAAAAAACCCAAAATTAATAATAGGAAAATTGCTATCAAAACCTGTTCCATAATTACCTTCATTGATACAGCCACAGACTGCTGAAAAAATCCTGTATCTAAATACACCCATTCTCAACAGTCCTTTTAGGACCATTGAAATCTGGCCAAATACAGAGTTTTTGAGCAATAAAGGAAGACAAAGTTTTTCTCCAGATTATACAAACTACTGCATACCAATAGAAAACTACATACACACTGCAGAAAATACACACACAAGAAAAGATTTTTATCTCCCAATAACATTTTGAGACAGTATTTGCTGTATGCCCTACATCATATTATGAATATTTATCATCCTTTGTTTTAGTAAAAGAGGTTCTTTGCCAAACTCAAACATATAGAAGCAGCCTTCAAAAACCACATAATGTGTAAAGTAATATGACTTTTAAGATTAGATTACAGGAAGGCATGTGTGCCCTTGCAAACGGTTCTATCACTATCTCAAAGTACTCAACATATGCAAAGACTCTTCCAAGAATAAACCATCAACAACCACAAATATCATACATGAAGAAAGCATATAATTTACAGCCTTTGTTCAGGAAAACACAAAGCATCATTTTAACATATCTGTTTGCAATGCTGAGAGCAAATCCCAGTATGAGATACTTTTGCCTTAGGTCAGGTAAAAAACCAAAAAATATTCAAATACGCTATAAAAGTAATTCCAAACTACAACCTTTCCCTGGTTAAAAATAAAGTCTCTAGGGCACACGTTTCCAGTAATTCTAGATCTATCATGTCAGTTGAAGGCACTAAAGCGAGGGAAAACTATTACAGCTGCCATTTTAGTTCTCTCTTCTACTTTCTGAACTTTTTACATACATAAAGAGCAGTGGGATTGTTGAGAACTTGTCAACTTCCCTTTTTTAGGCACAGAGAACGACTTGACCTTAAAGCAAGCATTCCTCTGCAGTTTACCAGCCACTTCATGTGAAACTTTACATGCAATAATCCCACAGATGCCCAAATACAGCTGCTGAAGACGAGTAAAAGTAAAATTCAAGACTTAGAATGTATGTAACTTTCATTTCCAGTCAAGAGACAGAACAACTGAGAAGGGAAAAAACCCAACAGAAGCAGCAACTAAGGTACCCCAGAGCAAGATTAAGTCTTCACGTTTGTCTTTTTTCTTTTTTTAAGGAGATAGTAATTTATAAAAACAGAACAAATCCAGCATACTTCAAATTGGGGGGGGGGGAAGTAAAAGTACATTGTATTAAGATACACTACGTATACTTTTTCCTAACACAAACATACTGTAGAAACAACCCTCCAGTAAAACCTTCATATTCAGCCAGAGGTGCCTACATACACTAGAACCTGTCTTCTCAGCTTTCTAACTCTCACCAGCATGAATATGAAATCCCTTTTCAACTGCTGCAGATCAGATCAACACTCCGTGTTCTACCAGACTTCCAGTAGGATTCCTCTTGCCACCTCTGATTTTTGAATGTTTTTTCTCAGTCCAGGAGGAAAGAGTAATTCCCCTTTGCAGACAAACGAGCACCCAGAAACTCACTTCAAGTGTTAGAAATTAACACTTCACCTTGTCAAACATCTGTCATCATTTAGTACAGTACACTTTTTATATCTACAATATTAGTGTTACATGTTTTTTAAAAGTACTGTTGAAAAAAAGAGTCAATCCTAAATTGCACGAACCATGAAGGAAAGCTCCTAAAGTTTGGAAGAACTGACAACCTCCAGCAGTGTTAGCTACCACAGAGTGGACTAGCACAAACATGACGCACAGAGTATTAAATCCAAAGGCAAGTTTCCACGGTCATCTGTACAAGCTCTTCTCACCATGCAACTCACTTAACCTTATGCAGTCACATACACGACAGACTTCAGACAGGCACGCTGCCAAAGTGCATCACTGAATAACCACTTCCAAGACAGACAACTTGCTAGCAGCACATTTTTAAGGTACCTGAAATACAGTTCAGTCAATTCATTTCTGGTGTTAGACAGTGATCATAAATGGCTGATACAGCTAACCGTAAACCTTTGAAATCTACAAGCCATTCAGTAATTGTTTTGAGAATAATTTGAGCTCAACATTTAAGAACATCACTTAACTAAGCCAATGTTCATGTGCTCCATTTACACTCTCTCAGATCAAAGTTCTTCCCCAGCAGAATTACTGAGAGACTTGCAGCACCAGAAGAGACAGCACTAGTGCTCATGGAAATAAGTAAGTAGGCTGTGGGAGAGGGCAAAAACAAACAAAAAATCCCACATCCACCATCATCCCTCCTCTCTCACCCCCAGAAAAAAATTACACTACCACTTTCATGCTACAAAGAAGCTTTGCTTCAGCATTTATTGAAGTAGGTGCAAATGAAGAAAAAAAAAACCTAAGGAAAAAAAAACCCAAAACCAACCAATTAAGAAAACAACTAACCCCAACTCATGGCAGGGTAGAGAGGGGATGTATTCATATCTACTTTTTTCCCCATATACATCTGTCCTTGGTCAAGAGTGTAGTAGTTCTTATTTTAATAATATTCTAATACAACTGCATACACCATCACAGTGAACCTACATAGTGTTTTATGACTGTAACTATAACCCAACCTCTCTGGCTTGAAGAGAAAGCAAGTAATTTCCCCTCTCCTTCCCACAAGAACCCACGGATACATCTCTGCTTTTGTAGAGACACCAGATCTGGCAGACAGGATTTAGCTCTTAGGCTGGAATGTGGCACCAACAAGCCGTTCCCCCCAAAGCAGGAGCACACACTGCTTACAGACCCAACTGGCAAATCTCTATAAGCATGCTACTGTAGATTTACCAACTAAGATCAACATCACATTTGTTCTTCATATACTGCTCTTTCTTCCTTCATCATCAGTATATAGGAGAGCAGTTAAGCTGGATCAAACCACCCATCCAACACAACAGTAGAGGCCTACAGCAACAAGTGTAAACAGAATGAGTGTAAACCAAGGAAGTATAGCCTAAGCAGCATTTCTGTTTCATTATCAGCCCTCCTTTGTTGGATCTGCATTCAGAAGACAGCCATCAAGGAAGGCTCCAGTGATCAAATCAAGCAAAAAAATTAAATAACAGAATACTTCCAATATTGCTCTGTTTCAAAAATAAAGATTTAGCTCAAGAACCAACGAAAAAGAAACCCTTCATTTTGACCATACATCTCAAAGATAACCAAGGAGGAACTACAAAACCTCAGTTTGCAGCTGTATCCAGGTTATGTGGATGTATATATAAAAAATATTTTAAAACTGACAATTTTCATAGATAGATAGATAGACTAACTCATTTGTTTTGTTACATAGCTATTGAAATATATTGTTCAAAATAATTAAGAACCAGCAAGGTAATTCATGATTCATTTTCACAGCCACATTTCCAAAGCAGTCTGTTTCAGAAGCCTCCATTTCTGTTCTAAGCACACATAATACTCCATGTCGTTCGGAAATAAAATACATTTCCAATTTATAGAATGCACATACAGACTTCTCTCTGCAACCTCCCAGAACTGCAAGTTAATAACCACTAATAGTTCGGGAAGGGGAGAAGAAGGGAGGGGGGGAACAGACAAGACCAATGTTCTAATCCTACAAAATTAGGAGATAAGTCTACCAGTGACAGTAACCCTGAAAGTGATAACAAAAGAAACCAGAAAAATATATTTGATAACACCATCTTTGATTACTGTATGAAGAGTTCAATGATAATCATTCTACCTCAGACAATCATCAGGTCTACCCTACAGCTCTCCCACTGCTACACATACACAGCACCGAGCAACCTTAGTTAAGAACGAGTAAATTAGAAAGGGCTTTTTGACATGGTTTACCTGTAGGAACGACTAATAGCACCACTTGGTTAGTTCTAAATATATTGTTTTACTTCTTTCAAACTGAATCTGCTTTTAAACCAGAAGTAAGGTGAGCCCACGGTGGGAAGGAGGGCAGGCATCTCTGGTTGTTGCCTCCTTTAAGGACAGTCAGGATATGAAAAATTAAAGTTCTTTCTAAATAACAGTAAATGAAGGTATTGCCCAGTCCATTAAATAGTCCTATAGATGCATTTGAAGTAAGTTCTTTGGGCACAGCCTCTACACAGCAATACTGTATCTACAGAAGTTGCCAGAGTGATGAAACACTACCAGTTCTAAATCAAGCACATCAACCTAACAGCCAAGGGAAAATGCACCAAATATAAATGAGCCCTGCCTCATTTTGTCACAGTACAATTTTTAGCTGGCCTTGCCCTCTAAATATATACGGATGAGAGCACAATTAATAATAATTCACAAACAGAACACTTGCCAGGTTTAAAATAGGAAGCATACGGTATTGATGGGTTCCCCCTTAGTTGTATTTTCTATGGTCTCATTTGCACAGGAGCAGCTGCTTTCCAGATTTTTTTTTGCTACTATCTTAGCACAGTGTATTGCTCAAGCACTACAGTAAAGACTCTAGTACAGCTCTATGGTTTTAGTGTCACCACACACGCACATACCCCCTTTTCTTGTGAATTTTATCTGTGGTTGTACAATTACTATTGTATACAACAATCCTCACATGTAAATGAAGATCCATCCCAATCAAAGCAACTCAGAGCCTCGCCTGAAGGTTTAACATTTAGATTTCAGCAAGACCACAGCCATAACGAAAGAGGTTAGAAATACTTAGACAAGTTTTTCTAGCCTACTAATCCTCTAATTAGCTGCTCAGCTTACCCTACTAAATACATCTGACCAATCTCCTTCTAGGAGACTTACAAGAAACACAGCAGCTATACAAACCTTGTTTGGACAAGTATGTCCAATAGACATAAACAGACTTCAGTCAGACTCTCCACAAGTTGCATTTTACTTTTACTTTCCAAAACTCTATTGTGGATGGCAGTAAAGACATGTATATGTGCTACTTTAAAAACACCACAAAACCCAAACCCTTTCAGGAAAAATGACTCTAAACATGTTAATGTTTTGCTTCTCATACCACTGAAATCTAATGTTTATAAGTAGTTTTATCTCAATACTTCTAGCAGGTGTTACTCCAGCCAGGGTGACACTGAGCACCACAACCTGCAAGAGAAGCCATGTCCCATCCCAGACAAATCAAACACATCTCTGAACAGTAAACAAAGTGTCTCTGTTAATCAGACCAGAACATGAAACTGGGAGAAAAAGTCAGAAAGAAAAGGAAGCATAACACCAAGAGACTGGTCACAACTGTGAATGGCTGTCAACTGTGACACACCACAGCAATTCGTAAAAAAACCTGGGTTAGAACAAACGCAAGAAAAAAGGATGGTTTATTTCCTAGTAAAGTATGACTAAAACACAAATAAATACTTGATTAAAATTAGAAGCCCATTTGAAGTCAATGTGAGTGTCCTGCAAGCCAGAAAATTTACCGTTAATTTACCAATTAATTTAAAATTATTTATTTGCATAATCTTAGCAAATAATGTCACCAATCCAACACAAGATATCAAACTGCATATCTAATATTATAGTAGCTTTTTTACAAAGTTGTTTTTTATCACTGCCTCACAGGACTAAATCTCATTCAAAAAAAATCCACATCGCCATTCACTTAAATTTCTGAAATTACAGTTAAAAAAAGCAGAAGTACCAGAATCCTTATAACAAGCCACCTCATATCATTACCTAGTCTTCTAGGCATATGCATGCTTGATAGAGTGCTGTGTCCAGAGTCAAAAGTAGCATCACAATGAAAATCAAAAATCGATCACTGTTCTACAGAGACCCTTACAAACAAAAGGCCACTGCAATCTAATGCATTTTAACATGTCTAAATCAAACTCTTACATCTTATGCTCACACAAGGAAATAGAAAATTTACTTGTCATTTTATAAAATTTATATAAAATAATTCAGGAATCTGTAAAGCTTTATAGCTTAGGAAAATTCCATTCCCTAAGTTTTAGTTTCCAGGAAACTCTTAAAGTAGTAAACCCTGTAACAACACTGCATTGCAGTTACATGGCAGTGGTAACAACAACCCATACAAGTGCTAAGCAATAGCTTGTAATACTAATATTAGAATTGACTGCTTCATTATACAAATCCCAACAAATGGAGTTTTTTATCTGTGCCACTGAGGTCTGAAGAAAATGCTATCTCCATGATCATTTTACCTCAGTTACATAGCTCATTAAGTTCCCTTTTTTTTTTTGGTCAAAAAAGAACAATCAATAGATTATTTCAAGATTCACTACCAGAAACATCCCTGCTATACTTGCATAGAATCACTCAAAGCCACAGCTGATAACCTTCAAATTAAAAAAGGCTGACTCAAAATAATGCAAAAGAAAAATAAAAAATAACCCAACACAAAACACTCAGCCACTCTCAAAATCTGGTAGTATGCTCTCACAATTGTAAAAGTATATTTTCTTTCTGAATTAAGCTGGTTACTATGATTAAGCAATTTCAACAATAGAGCAAATATCCTCCCTAATACAGAAATCTGTACTCAAAGTATTATTTCTATCACCAGATCTTTCAAAAATTTCTTCCACAACTGGTGAGTCTAAGGTAGCACACCATTCTGAGACACAGTTGTTACATATCACTTGCACCAAAGCACGTTTGAGCCGTTATTAAGTAATACAGCTGCTATTTACATACAGGTTGCATTTTCCTCCCTTGACGAGCTTCTTCCATGCTGATGTGCAGAAGCGGAGAATGCCCTTGTACGAGACCCTGTAATGAACCTCCCAAGAGATCAGAGCCTGCGCATACATGACTGCTTTAGCTCGCTCTGCTTGACACAGATGTACTCCGGGAAATTGCTCTCCAGCCAATCGCTCCCGCTCCAGTCTCTCATCTCCCAGGCCACTGATTACAGCTACTGCAGGGTCGCACAGCAGCAGAATGGGCAAGACGGCGTGCCTTCAATTCCAGCTCAGAGAATACCAAAAAAGGAACTGAAACAGAGTTCCAGACTTAACATTTTCTGTATCAGCAGCGGCTAAGAACAGCTCCAAGATAATATTTTTGCTCTGATCCAAGACTTCATTAGCACTACAAAATGAAAACACATTTGTACCTCAGGTCCCAGAACAGAACAACCCAGAAGTCAAACATCTGCTAAGTGTGTTTATTGCTGCATTATCAACCTTTCACTGAATATCCATTATAAAGCAGGTGGTTTTTTTTACACAAGCCATATATTCTTGTTTGACAAAATAAACCAGGGCTTCCTAAAAAGAGAACCCCTCATTTATTTTTTTTCCTGTTGAAGAGGTAAAAAAGCTTTGCTGTTAGCTGCAATTAACCTCATGTCTGCCGCCTGAGTAAGATGGCTCTCTGTTCCAGGTATGATGTGAGTAGCAGTACTTTTTCCTCACTTAAGCCAACCTTAGAAAAACGCAACCTTCGCTCCAGCAGATCAAATTCAGAGCTTCAGTTCGCTCTTTCCCTCTTCATCACTCATATACCTTAATCTCCTTGTCCCATCATAAAATGATGGGAAAACCGGCTCTTTAAGGTGTTATCCATAAGTTAACCTTCATGACATGCCACTGCCTTCCTTGTTTTTATTTCTTTCATTCCTACTTCTTTTATGACGAGAACTCTAGTAATGAAGCTGGACTGGTGCCATGCCAACGAACAAACAACTTGGTCAAAATAAAACAAGTAACATACTGTTCATAAACTTGGTGCAAATACCACTAGCCACATTGTGCAACTGTGAAGACTGTATTTATCACCTAGCTGCAGAGAAACAGAAGGCCACATTCAGTTCCTCTCACTGTCTTTCTCAGTCCAGAAAATTCTGGACTAGAGTAATACCTCAATAATTCATAGACTACAAAAAGTATTCTCAGATAGTGCTGACAAGAGTTTAAAAGTAGTTGGTTTCCACTCTGGAAATATATGTTCACTCTAAAATATGTATGCATCTTTTCACTTCCAAGCTCTTGAAGGTCTCTCTGCTGCCATACGTAAATGACCATAAACTAAATGATTCATACAGGAAGCACAAAGTCAAACAAAAATATCAGATACCCTAACTCTTAGTGCTCTCTTCTCAACTGTGCATCCTAAAACAAACCTGTTCTTTTCCTGATGCAGAGCACAGATACGTACAGTTCTTCACCTGCACAGATGAATACTGAAACAGCTCTGCTGAATTGTGTCCTGGTGTTCTGACTCTCCCGTATTTCAATGCACTGTTTCTTAGCATAAATCCATACTAGAAGTAATTCAGTTGCTACAAGTTCAAAAAGATGGTTTGTTTAGGTTGAGGGTGGGTGTATGACGGGGAAAGAGGCTGCCTATTCTTTTGGAATAGAATAAGTGGGGTGGGAATCACAGGTTTGATTTTTTTTTATTATTATTCTTTTTATGAGTTTGGGAAAGAATACTTGCTTTGTTTGGAAACTTACAGAAACTTACAGAAGCTTACTGAAATCTCTTTACAGGCTGTAGTCAACCAATTCCTAGTTAACAGTCACTCAATTTTGGAACAAACAAACAAGAAAAAAACACTCAGGAGCTGTATTCGTTTTTTAAAAAGCAGAAAGCAAAGAACATGTTCACGAAGAGCCAAGCTGAAAAATCCAACACTTCAAAATATAAACGTGTTTTTTTCAAACAGACGGAAGGTTTTGTCTTTTAAGTCCTATACCAAAACACTTTGTGGATAAACATCTGCTCTTCCCTAAGAATAAATATCAGGAAAAAGCTTTGCATTAAATGGAGAACAACACAGCAACTTCAAACTGCAACTGTCTTAACATGTTTAACTACAGAAGTATTCTAAAACAAACTGTAGGCAAATATATTCAAAATTATCACATCCTTGAACATGTTCAGTGACAACACTCTGAGAACTCAGCAGAACTATTTGTGCTGCAGCAATATTTTAGCCATGTGCTTTATGCTGCAAAAGAATCTCTGTGAAGTCTATGAGGACTTTTTTTTTTAAATAAAAAGAAAGATAAGTAGCTATCAGGAAACATACATTTTCTTTATCAATATATCCTTCTTAATTTTCACTTTTATACCCCTTCAAGCTACACTTATTTGATCTTATCTCAGTCTATAAAATCACATCTTTGAAAGACATGTCCAAAAGAGTAAATATCTCTTATCAAAAAAAAATTCTTTTGAGCTCCTAGATCTTTTCATCTTTTCACAAGCGATATAGAACTATGATTCCAGTCCATCATGAAGTGGCAGTGAACTGCCTTACTGCAGGGTCTGCAGAGTGTCTAGCAGGCAGAGCTAATATGCCATTCTGAAATGGCAGGACATTTAAAGCAGCTGCAGTAAGCAGGACTGAGCTCTCAGCAGAATGTACCACATGAGCTCCAGTCCAGTTGCTATCGGACAGAGCCAGATATGAGCGCAAGGAGACTGAGTGCTTCTTTGCTTGCAAAGAGGCCATACTGACATACCCATACACCTGGCCCCGTAAAATGGTAGACCTAGTATGAGGTTTCTATTGATATTTTAAAATTCTGTTTTGGGGGGTGAGGATTGGGGTGTTACGAATTGCACCCATAATCCAAACTCAATAATCCAATTGCACCCATAATCCAAACTCAATCCTTCCTTGTATGAACAAATCAGAGTACGGAGTTGGACTTGATGACCTCAATGGGTCCCCTCCAACTTGAGATATTCTATGATACTATGACCATCTTTTCCAATACTGCAGCCTCAAAAAAAACAACAAAGGTTTACTGCTGCCTTTCTTCATGCATCTGAAAGGGCAGAATTTAACAAACTCAAAGCACCTCTCTTTAGAAAACAATATAAAAACCAAGAAATACTTGTGAGACAGCAAGACAATACTTCTAAATGAGGCTTTATTTTGGAGGGGGCAAATCTGGCCCAGGTCATGGGGGAGTCAGGAGAGAGGCAAGGTGCCAGGGGATTAAGATGACGCAGGGGCAAGTTGTATGACACAGTCTAATGTTAGTATGTCAAATACCACTATGGATGTGTCCTAGTTAGAACAGCTGGGACCACTTCATCACTGTATGGGTGTAACCCAAAACTGTGTATTCTATAGCCTTCCATGCCATTTCCCAGAAACTGTTATCAATGAACCATTTACACCATCTGCCCAGAGAGGCCTGACTCCTCAGGCTATAAACTGGGGGTTAAGAGGCCTGTGAGATAGGAGGGTGTTCTTGTCCTCAAGCCCATTGAGGAACCCCCCCGCCTGAGGGAAGTACTGAGCATTCCTGCCTGAACTGGAGAATATATAATCTTGGAGTCTTGGAACTTTTGGAACACTCGTGGGATCCAGAGGAAGACTGCAGATCACCGCTCTCAACCAGACTGCAGATCACCACCCTTGACCAGACTGCAACAGCACTCTCACCAACAGGTTTTCCCCTCTCCTTTTACTTTGGACTCAGGGGGCCCAAAGAACACCACTCTGTTCATGCCCCAGGGTGCTGGGTTATGCATTTGGGTTTTGTGAGTTAAAACCAATTGTTTGTCTGTATAATCGTACTTATTGTATTATTTTATTAAATTGTTATTCTGATTTATAATCTCTCTTTTGAGTTGGGTTAATTTCCCCTGTTGGTTTACCTTTAAACCAGCACAGGATGGTTTTGTTCAGCTTCCTATTAAGTGGGAACCTACTAACTCATATTAAGAAGAACAGCTTCCTAGGAGTATCTTATTACAAAGAAATTAAATCTAAGGTATACCTCCAAAGAGATGTTATTACTTTAGCAAGGGAACACAGAGACTTTTGCAGACAGTGGCTCATCATTTAATGAATTAAAACTAGCCATAAAATCTGAAAGTCTGACTGCCTTCAAGTATTTTTCAGAAAAAAATTTCCACATAATAGCTAGTTGCCAAGGCATACATCTGCATAGCACACTTCAAGCTTGCCTCAGCTTGTATCAGCACATACACGTGGAACTGGGTGTTATCCAAAAAAAAAAAAAAAATGGAAAGAATACAAAAAAAGATGTATTCTATGCAGATATTCTCTGGTGTATTGTCGCAGTAGTGGACTCTTGAGTTTCGCAGCACATTGCAGGAGAGCTGAGAGGAGCCACCGGGATGCTGAGAACAAGCATGAATGAGGTAAGATCACTAGCTTAAGCCCTCCTGGAATTATACAATTACACATCGTTTGGACAGCTGAGAACTTACTCTCTAGAGAGGATACCACTGAAATTTATAATCCGAAACCTCATTAACAGTGAGATTACTATGCTTTCTACTGTACTATGTACTACTTCATTAATCACCCCACAGCCCTGATCTGCATACACTGATGAAGCAGAACAACAAGAGATGTGTGTAAAGCTTTTGAGTACTTATTCCTGGACTCAAAAACATCCCTCAGCAGAGAGGGATTAAAGTGACCATCTTCAAACAGAACCCCCCCAGAATTTCACTCCAGTATGTATGAGCATGAGGTCAGCACACATATGGCAGTGAGCCAGGCTAGGGGGGATGGGTGATTTGATTTTTGGGAGTTTGAGGGGGTTGGGTTTTTACTCTTTGGTTTTCTTTTTTTTTTGGGGGGGGGGGGGGGGGCATGTGGTATGGACACACACACAGAAGGATGAGGATAATTTCCTAAATTCAAACCTGCTCACTTTACAATATATTCCTCATCACTTGCCACATGTTTAAATGTTTTACAATCGCTTGTATAAGTATGTTGAATCATAGAATGGTTTGGGTTGGAGGGGGACCTTGAAGCTCATCTAATTCCAACCCCCTG